AACTGAAGTGTTCTTGCACCCATGAGGTGGTAAAGGTGATACCCTTTCTTGAAAGGATAGGCTTGGTTGATACATATATATACTTGGGCTGCTTGTTATGAGACCTTGCAGCATCAATAGGGCAACAGTAACACAGGCATTCAAAGAAAATAGCTGCAGAATATTTTTCTGGGGCGTTTATCAGTATTGACTAATGATCTTTAAGGAGTGTAAAGCATTTTGCGGAAAATTTTCAAGTAGGATCTTCATTTGGACTTAAAGGAAACTCATAAGGCACACAGTGTTCCAAGCAATTACACAGGGAAATTTGGATCAGAAGTTAAAACAAACCCAACAAGCAACCAAACTCATGAGGAAATCTGTGTTTCTTTGAATGTTTTGTTGGTTGTCTTTGGATAACCCAGTAGTTAGGTCATCTTTGAGTCTAAGTGTCTGCAGTTTTAGCACCATTTTTACTGATTTAGATCTAAATGTACTGCTTTGGCATGTAGCTCATCTTGTATAGCATGCTTTTTGAAAAAAATTAGAATGTATGCTTGATCTGTTTATCTAGTCACGGGTTCAGTCTGACTTTCCAGACATCTTTAACATATTAAGCATTTTCTTTCATGACAGTCCATTGGAAGGGAGGTATGAGAAAGCTTGTTTGCATTTTGTGTGTTAAAGATGCACACAGACATAAGATGTCTCTGCTCATGCTTTTATCACGCAGTTTCAAAATGCAGTACCTAGTGGCTTTGCATACTTCCACATGAACATGCTATTGTCTTACATAATAGACAAAGCATGAAGGATTCATGTTGTCTGACACACAGGTGTCTTGTGTTGCTGCTTGCTATTGGCAATTTTAATGGGGGAAAGAGCATGTGTATTTATCGAATAAGGAATGGAAGCAGCTCGTGTTTGCCTTTTCTAGGGCAAACTGGAGTTTTAAGCTAAGCCCACCTCCAGATGTTATCAGTCTTCTTGCGGCTCATGACCTGTGCTTTATGTAAAATTCTTGTCTTTTCACATTCATGCTCTACACACGTACCCACCACACTGTGTTAAACTGATTTTGCTGGGCTGGATTTTATTCTGTATGTGATAACCTTCCAGGTTTTGTCCCCACTGTTTTGTTCATCTCACATTTTAGTGAGACACCTGTCACTGGGATCTGTCAGCTATGATACACATAGGCAGTGATGGATAATAGGAGCACATGAAGAGAGAGATAGTATCTCTCATGGCAGTAACTTCAGCTGTCAGTGGGTACATATATATGTGCTTTCAGCATCCGGATCCCTCCCTGAAGTAGTCTCTGCTAGCAATAACATTTGCTTTCTTATATCTGGAATCTTTAACGATTCCAGCTTGATTATACTTAAAAATCACCTGGCAGAAGAGAAGGGTATCTGCTACAGAAGGGTGTGAAGAGACAGAATGTTGGCAAAGTAGCATGTGGGAAGGCCATTTTATTTCTCTTGAATATATACTTAAGAATAAGGAAGTGAGCTGTTCTTTGCGCTTTGTTGTGTAATCATGCATTCTTTTAAGTTATCTGTTTAAAATGCATTTCAGTTACCTTCTAACTAAGCAGATTACGAAAAAAAAACCCCAAAACCCAGTAAATTTCTATTCACTAATGGTTATCCTGTTTAGAAACTAAAGCCCTCCTGAAGCTGGGCAGGGCACCAGGAATGCACAAATGCATATTCTGTTTTCAGCTGAAGCTTCTTTGTGTTATATTGTTGGAAAATTAGTGTAGGACTAAGTGCTGTGTTTTCCTTCAATCAACCGGAAAGCCCCCAGATTTTCATACGATAAACTATATTAAAAAAAACCCAGAGACTGCACTTTTCTGCACATTTTCAGGTAAAATGAATGAGCTTTCCTAAATCATAGAGTTCTGTGATTAGAAATGTGGACTCTTAAGTGAAAGTTAGGGTGGTACAAACAGTGCAGTTATGACCTTGAGTAATTGGAGAAAAAAGTTTACAAGACCTTTGGATTGAATTGGACACTTTCTCAGATGCTGTAAATTTGTGTGCATGTATGATACTCTTTCCTTTCTTTGGGTGAATAGAAGATTACTTTGAAAGTTGTTATTTTCCAAGTAGGAATGGCACAAAGCATATATAAACTTAGCTTATATAAAACAGTATGTTCTGGGAAACAGGAGAGCTAGATAGATTTTTATTTGCTTTTAAACCAAGTGCAGACTTGGTTTAAAATTCATGACTCCTGAATTGTCTCTCTGCTAGTATTTTTTTAGTCAGAACTCTACCTATAATGATCTAAAAATCTTGGGATGCTATCATTTCACAGAAGCATCTAGTGTGGTTTGGGGTTTTTTCCAGACTTTGTTCTTAGATGATAAATGACTTGCCAGTCTTTACTAAATGACAATTCAGCTCAGGTAGAAATACTCCTCTATTAAACTTTTTGGTCTTTCTTTTTCACCGTGCTAATGTAACTTACAAAAATAATAATTCTGGGTTGACAAGCTCTTTAAAAATGATAAATCACCCTTTTCCCAGACTGGTGGTATTAAACGTGTTGCATGTTGCTGAAGAAGGCACATAGTGGTAAAATGTTAGTAGTTTAGGACTAGAGTATCTTTAGCTTGATCTTGCTGTGTATTGTGTTGGGCAACACCCCCCAAACTATTCTGGGCTTTGACTTCACTTTGGTTCTCAGCCTTGTTTCAGCCAGTGTCGTGTTCTGGAGTGTGACAAATTTAATGAATTTGGTTTGCAATCTCATCTGTAAGTGATGTAACCCAGCCCAGGGTGGAGAATCACCGAGTCGTAATTAGCTGAACTTTGGCAGTTTGCAAAACTTTTACAATATCTGCAATTACAGATCATTGTCTCAAAACACAGTCTGGATTGCTTGTCTTTAGTGCAGACACTGTGATTAACATGTTCTCTTGATATACTCAATTCTTAAAGTATCCGTCAGTTACTAGTAAAACCAGAAAATCAGATTTGAACTAGATATGAATTATTTTAAGAAAGTATTCACTTAGTATCAGTAAAAGATTTTACTTTCCGAAATCACTTTGCCTTCAGTGCTTCTTTCTTTACATAGATACATATGTATCTTTATATATGTAAAGATACATGTGTCTTTCTTTACATACATACACCGTAACGTGTATGCACAATACAGATTTGAAATACAATTAAAAGCAGAAGTACTACTGGTTTACATATATTTGTATGTGTAACTGCATATGTGGATGGCTTATTTTATCCACTGGAGATAATGTGCACTTTTAGGTCTCTGTAATAGGTGAAGGTCTGTCTGTTAGAGGAGGTGTAGCTCGACTAAACTGTTGGTAGTGTTATGATAAGGACTACATAGTGTATTTGAGTGTTCTTTGGGAGAAGAAGCTGGGGTGATATAAAGTTTGGTCTGAAGTCTAAGATGTTTCCTAGAGTATGACACTAGGTGACAAATTTAAGAAACTGTGTCATATGGTTAAGCCAAGAAGACTTGTAATACAACTGTAATCTTGTAAAGGCACAGAAGTTGTGCCTTGTGGTAGAAGTTGGACGGTATACAGATAGGTAAGTGAGGTTCTGTATTTATTTCTTCCTTGTGGGGTTGCATTGACAATATTTCTATTGCTTTCTTTTTGAAATGCTCGTGGGTTTATGCTTTAAGTCAGTCGTGTGTTTGTCAGCCAAAAGGGAAGTCAATAGGGGAAAATAAAACTTTCTTGTATGTGTGTCTGTATGTGCACTCTTCCCAAAAACTTGGTCATTTTTAATCTAACCATTGGGCTCTCTGATGAAGCTCTTTAATTTTCTTTCTAGCTGTGGCACTCGATGATGTATTTCCTGTGTGTTTATATCAGATACATATATGTGCATGTGGGTCACTTCATTTGTCAGTGATTTATGTCGTCTGTTGCAGAGTTGTAATGGGGCTGTACACCTTGTTTTATAGCTTTTTTTTCCTTTTACACAGGATGTATCTGGGCTTTTGAGAAGCAGATGTCTCTTCCCAGGAAATTTTCTAATGAGAAATAATTAGCTCAGAGAGTATTTTTTTCTATTATCCCTCTAAAACTGCTTTTCTGCAAAAGCAGCACAAAATATAACCAAAGAAATAGTAAAAACTTTTTTCCTGACACTTTGCTTACAGTCTTCAGTGACACTTGATCTGTGTTGATGTCAGTCTGCTGCTGGACCAACAAATGATGTTCTTTGATCTGCTGGAGTAGGGAGTAGGACGTCACAGGGCCACACTTATCTAGACAATGCTGTCTTTGGGAAGTCAAATGAAGCAGTAACTGAACTCCGACTTACGACTTCACTTATGTGTTTACCTGTAGGGTTCCAAAGTCCTATTTTCCAATCAGTTTTCTAGAAATACCTGCACAGCAAATTCTCCAGGGTATTGTGGCAATTAGAAGAGCTATAATGGAACTGACTGTTCTCTGGGGCCGATGATCTGGTTCCACTTGTCAGTGACTGCTGTCAGTGATGGTAGATAGTTCTTTAGCTTACATGGCAGCCATTCATGCTGAACACCCAAGGCCAAGCTGTCATGAAAATAGCTGG